TTTCCTCCCTAGTCCTGGGCTTGAACTCAGGGCCTGGGTACTGTCCCTGAGCTGCTTTTGCTCATGGCACCACTTCTGGCCTTTTCTGTTTATATTGTACTGAGGAATTGAACTGGCCTTTTCTGTTTATATTGTACTGAGGAATCGAACCCAGGGCTTCATGTATGTTAGGCAAGCACTCCACTACTAAGACATATTCCCAGCCTAAATGTTTTATATTGAAGATTATTTTTGCCAGTATCACTGGGGAGCTGATAAATGAACTCTGTAGACATTGATTCTGTTACTTTTTCATTTATTAAAATTAATTTTGCTTTCTTTCACGTAGTATAAAAATTGGGATAATCTTCAAACTATTTCTGTTATGTACAAGTAGATTTGACTGTAGTTGAGGGGCTGAAAGTGAAGAAATGTGGTTAGATGTACATAGTGAAAAAGTGTGGTTAGAGGTACATAGCAAGTGCTTAGCAGTAAAATTTGCAATGGAGAAAAGGCAAAACCAGAGCTAGATTCAAAAAAATTTATCTCTTATTTCTGGAATTTTATGAATCATTACAAATCAAGAAAAAAAATTCCATTGTGGTAAGTGAAACTATGGAAGAACTATATAATGCAGTCTTTTGAGAACAGTGTTTGGAAGAAACAGATGTTACTCTTATCTTTTCCTCTTTTAGGAAATGACCTCTGGAGAACAAGCTCCAAGTGTAGCAGGTAATTGTTATCAGTCTGCTAATCTGTTATCATTCTTGTTTGTATTAGCACAGTTATTTACTGTAGTGGGTATGGAGGATGTTTCTTAGGGAGCTGAACAAGAAGATTCTAGTGCTAAGTATGTTATCTGCTTGAGAAGTTAGATTCTTAGATGTAACTATGGAAGATGATTTGAGTTTTAAGTGTTAAATAAAAAACTAGAGATTGTCTCTGGGTTTGTATACCTGAGAACGTTTTTTGTTGAAGACATTTTTAATGGAAAGAAAGTACTGTCATCAAGTAAAAGCCAATATATGAGCCTGGGTGCTAGTGTCTCATGCATGCAATCCTAACTAGTCAGGAGGCTAAAATCTGAGGATCAAGGTTCAAAGCCAGCACAGACAAGGAAGTCTGTAAGACTCTTATCTCCAGCTAATCACTAAAAAGCCCAAAGTAGAGCTGTGGCTCACTAGGTAGAGCACTAGCCTTGAGCAAAAAAGCTCAGGGGCAGTGTCTAGGCCCTGAGTTCAAACCTAGGACCTGCATTCTAACCCCCACCCCCTCATACAAAAGCCAATAAATGATGCTTAAAAAAAATCTGCAGTCTATAATCTAAAATCTGTAGTCTATAATCTTTAGTCTGTAACCATATGAGTAAGGAATAGTGGTATAGAGGATTTTGGAACACATCACCTGAAGATAAACACCTGAGTGAAAAAAAAAAAAACTGTTTGAAGGAACCAGTGGCTCATGCCTGAGCTCATGCTCAATTACTCAGGAGGCTGTGACCTGACCTGAGGTAGACAAATCTGAAAAGCTCTCCAACAAACCAGTAAAAGGCTGGAAATAGAAATGTGGCGTGAGTGTATAGAGCACCAGCCTTGAACAAAGAAGCCAGGCAAGAGCACAAGGCCCTGAGTTCAGGCTCTAGCACTGGTGCGTGCATGTGTGCACACACCATGCACACACAACTCTCTGTTTTAAGTAAATAGATTTCTAGACTTATTGTTGTTTATTGCTTGTTTCCTCAAGATCCCAGCGATGGAAGCACCGAAGCTGCCATAACTTTGCTGACAATGGGAGATATAGTCCTGCAGTCAGAAATCAGTACTGACCAGGGTGATGGTAAGAGTGGAAAAGGAATCTGAATCCTCTTCAGATCTGTCTGCTAAGAACTTACATCCACATTGGGAGTGAACAGCCCCTTACATTTGAAACTTACATTCCTTTTCTTAGAAACATTTGCCAGGTGCTCATGGCTCATGCCTGTAATCCTGGCTTCCCCAGAGGCTGAGATCTGAGGATTGCAGTTCAAAGCCAGCCCTGGCAGGAAAGTCTGTGAAACTCTTATCTCCAACAAAACCACCAGAATACCAGAAGTAGTGCTGTGGCTCAAGTGGTACAATGCTAGCCTTGAGCTGAAGAGCACAGGGACAGAGTTTAAGTCCCACTACTGACAAAAAAACAAACAAAACAAAAAACATAATATTTGTATATCGATCCAAGCACTATCTTATTTATCCTGTTAGATATGCTAGCCATTTAAGATCGTGTATTTGGTTAACCAAGCAAAGTATTTCTTTATGGAAGTTATTTTTTTATCATTATAAACATTGTTTATAATGTTTATATATTTCTCTTCAATAGAGGATTTGCTGCTTAAAGTGGCAAATTTTCTCCTATGTAATAATATTTTTGACATTGAGATAATTTTAACTGTTCTAATAGTTTGGAGAATGCCAAAACATAGGCCAGCTTATTTTTATTTATTTATTTATTTTGATGCCAGTATTAGGACTTGAGTTCAGAGCCTTGAGCTCTCCATTGTCTTTCTTTTTCATGTCTGGTTCTCTACAACTTGAGCTACACTTTTAGTCTAGCATTTTTCTGGTTAATTGGAAATAGAGTCTCAGACTTTTTTGTCCAGGCTGGCTTTAAACTGTGATCCTCTGATCTATTTCATGAGTAGGTAAGATTTTAGGTATGAGCCACTGGCACTGAACTTGCTGATGAGAGGTTTGAACTCAGGGGTTCTTAGTAAGTTGACACTTTACCACTTGATCTATGCCTTCAGTGATTTTTAGTATGTTAGGCTGAACTTAGAAGCTGTGGTCTTTACTATTCCTTTATGTATAACTACATGAAATAACTGTTCACATTTTTTTGTTGATGTTGTTGTTGTTGGTCATGGGGGGTGAACTCTGGGTCTCTGAGCTGTCTTCAGCTCAAGGCTAGTGCTCTACCACTTGAGCCACAGTACCACTTCTGGTTTTCTGCAGTTAATTGTAGGTAAGAGTCTCATAGATTTTCCTGCCCGGGCTGGCTTTGAACTGTGATCCTCAGATCTTAGCCTCTTGAATAGCTAGATTTACAGGTGCCTTTTTGTTTGTTTTTTACTGGACCTGAGGTTGGAGTTCAGGCCTCAGGACCAGCATTAAAAAGGGGGGAGAGGGGAGGAAGAAGGGAGGATCTGGCTAATTTCTCACCTGGGCTGACCTTGAACCTCAATCCTCCTGATTTCTACAGCATTACCTAGGAATATAGGCATGTGCATTAATGCCCTTCCTTTATTCATTTTTAGAACCATTATTTTATGTCCCACACAGCTAAGACAGACTCTACTGTAAGACTCTGCCACTAAGAAAGAATTTTTTTTGGGGGGGGTAGGATGTTGTCCCTGAGCTTTTATGCTCAATTGTAATGCACTACCAATTGAGCCATAGCTCTACTTTCTGCTTTTTTTTTTTTTTTTTTTTTGTAGTTTAGTGGAGATAAGAGTCTCACAGACTTTTCCTGCCCAGGCTGGCTGTGATCCTTATATTTCATCTTCTTGAGTAGCTAGGATTATAGGCATGTGCCACCAGCACATGGCTACAAATCAGAAACTTTTTTTGGATAAATATAGGGTTATAAGCCTAAAAGTCTAACAACTAAACATCAAGTTAGTCAGTAAAACAATTATCAAGAACCTGGGCACTGGTGCTCAAACTCAGGCAGTACCTCTGAGTTGTTTCTTTATTCAAGGTTAATGCTCTACCACTTTGAGCCACAGCTCACTTATGGTTTGCTGGTGGTTAATTGGACATGAGTCTCATAGACTTTCCTCCCAGGCTGTCTTTGAATGGTAAACCTCAGATTTCAGCCTCCTGAGTAGCTGGGATTATAGTTTGAGCACCAGCCTTGAGTTCAAACCACAGTATTATCTCACATACCCCAAAGTCCAATCTGTTTTGAAATTATTGAAAGTAACAAAAGACTATTACTTTAGATAGCATACAGTTTTCATTATGACCCTATTACAGATCAAATCTCATTTATGAAATATTTAATCATGAATTTAGAATGTAGAGCTAAAGAGAGCTAACTTTAGTTAAATAATAATGTAGAATTTGACAATTACTGAATTTTGAAGAGTATTCAGGTACTGATTCATATTGGGTTCATTTTTAATTTTCTTTTTCTTTTTTTGTGCAGTAGGTGTGTGCATATTTCATTCAGAGGATGGGAGTCATATTCCTTTTAGCACAGAAAATGTAAATCACAAGCCCGTTGATGAATATCAAGAATTTAATTCACTTATCACAAGTGCATCTACTGCATCATTGGAAGACAGGATTGTGTCAGAGGAACGGACTATTGGAGAAAAAGTTGATTTAATGGAAGAAATAAAGGAAACTACACCAACCAGGTTTATTACTTTAGTATTCAATTAAGTAGTCAATGCTGATCTCTTACACATTTAATTAACGTTTGTCTGATCTAGGTATCACTGGTCTTGGTGTATCTTTGAAAAAGTTGATCTATAGAAATTGAATCTGTTTTATGAATATTGTCTAGATTTTTTCCCTAATACCTCTAGTAAGTTTAGTATTTTATAACTTCAGCATTAAGAAATGAGTATTTACTGTATCTGTAATCTAGTACTTGGGATCCTGGAGTAGAAGGATTGATAGTTTGAGTCTCTGCTTAAGGAATCTGTTTTTGGTTTTGTTTTGTTTTATACCTGCTATCCTAGATATTTAGGAGGCTGCGATCTGAGACCATTGTTTGAAGTCAGCCTAGGCAAGAAAGTGCATGGGATTCTTACCTCCAATTGACCTCTAAAAAGTTGAAAGTAGACCTGTGGCTTAAATGGTAGAGCACTGTTATTGAGTGAAAATGCTAAGGGACACCTTTCATGCCCTGAATTCAAGCCTCAATATAGGCACAAAAAGTAAATCTAAATTAAATAAATAGACACCATCTATATATAATGTGGTACTTAATAGATGGTGCATTGACTGCTCTGGTGCTGGACAGAATGTGGCAATATAAGAAAGCAAGGGGCTGGCTACTGGTGGCTCACACCTGTAATCCTAGCTACTCAGGGTGCTGAGATCTGAGGATCGTGGTTCAAAGCCAGCCCGGGCAGGAGAGACCGTGAGACTCCTATCTCCAATAAACCACCAGAAAACCGGAAGTGGCGCTGCAGCTCAAGTGGTAGAGTGCTCGCCTTGAGCTGAAGAGCTGAGGGACAGCGCCCAGGCCCAGACCCCATGGCCGACCAAAAAAAAAGGAAGCAAGGGAATGCTTACATAATTGATCAATTTCTTTTATTTCTTTACTCCCAGAAATGCAGTTTCTCAAGGGACCAGCAATTTAAGAATGAGGAGTAGATTTGTGAAGCCGAAGTCAAATTTTGAGAAAATTTCAGACACCAGCATGTTTGATGCTCATAAAGAAGTTTCCAATTTTTGTATAGCTAAAGGGGAAGAAAAACAAAGTCAAAGAGGTAAATTTTATTGTTCTTATAAATTGTAAAATTACATTGACCTAAAAAAATAACATTAGCATTTCAAAGGAATATTCAGTGGAACATTCTGTATAAAATTTTTAAAGATTACAAAAAGGTAAAATGATCTATAAAAGAAATATCCATAAATCTAACTGGTTTTAGTCATTGATACTGTTTTGCTTGCTGTATTTGCCCTATCAGTGTCTGTATGTGTATGTATATATCCTTGAGCAAGCATCTGTTAGAAAGGTATATTACATGAGGGTTGGGTGAGGTGGTAGATGCCTATACAGTCCTGCCTACTCTAGAGTAGAATAATGATTGTGTGTTTTAAGTTAGCTGTGACAAAAGTTAGACCTCAACTCTAAACAAGCTGGATGTAGTGGTTTACACTAGTAACCCAATTATCAGGAGGCCATAACAAGAGGATTGGGGACTGAGCCTAGCTTGAGCAAAAGCTAGATATCTCTCTAAAAACAAACTAAAACAAAGGGATGGGAGACTATAGCTCAAGTGGTAGAGCACATGTCTTACAAGCTGGAAATCCTAAATTCCAACCCCAGTATTTCCAGATGTAGGGGAATGTGTGAATGATGTAATACTGCATATGACCAAACTTAAATAGTACCTAAAAGGCTGGGTGCTGGTGGCTCATACTGTAATGTTAGCTACTCCAGAGGCTAGATCTGAGGATTATGGTTCAAAGCCAGCCCAGGCAGGAAATTCCATGAGACTCTTATCTCCAGTTAACCACCAGAAAACTGGAGGTTTCACTGTGGCACAAGTGGTAGAGCACTAGCCTTGAGCTGAAGAGCTCAGGACAGGGTCCAGGCCTAGAGTTCAAGCCCCATGACCGACCAAAAAAAAAAAAAAGACAAAAAAAAAATAAGGCATTTCTAACAGGAAAGTACCCAAAAGGAATGAAATTAAAAACAAACCTCTTTCTTAGGTCCTGGCTTACAAGTCTTACTTCTAGTGGTGAAGTGCTCTTAGACTTTATTATGGACTTCCAGAAATGTTTTTAGACACTTGTAATCATCTAAATGGTGTCTGTATTTATTCCTATGTGTGTTACCATATATGAATAATGTGTATATTTTTAGAAGAACAAATCTGTATGTATACCATATCATACTGCTAAACATTTAAAAATAGCTTTGTAATGATAAAGCAAAGTGATTATAGTTAATTATGGTCTATTATATTATTAAAAATGTAAAGGGAAGCTAATTGTCTTGATGCTCATCCCTGAAACCTCTGCTATTTGGGAGTTTGAGACCAGGAGGATTGAGTTTGAGGTCAGCTCAGACAAAAAGCTACAGAGAACTAGGTTGTTTGTTTTGTGTATGTGTGTGTGTGCACACTGCTACTGAGACAACTCTTGCTTTTTCCCTCAAGTCTGGTATTCTACCAGTTGAGACACAGCTTCACTCCCAGCTTTGTGTTGGGTAATTGGAGATAAGATTCTCATAGACTTCTCCATAGGCTGCTTTTGAACTGTGATCCTCAGATCTCAGGCTCATAAATAGCTAGGATTACAGGCATGATGGGCCACCATCACCTTCAGATGAACCTATGTTAAAAAGTTGGGTCTGTGTTACATTCCTGTGTTCTCAGCTATCTGGAGGAAGGAGGATCCTAGACCATCTTCAACAAAAATAACTATGTATGCTGGGTGCTGGTGGCTCATGCCTGTAATCCTAGCTACTCAGGATGCTGAGATCTGAGGATTGTGGTTCGAAGCCAGCCTGGGCAGGAAAGTCTGTGAGACTCTTTATTTTTAGTTAACTAACAGAAAACTGGAAATGGTGCTGTGGCTCAAAGTAATAGAGCATTAGCCTTGAGCAGAAAAAGCTCAGGGAGCTGGGCGCTGGTGGCTCAAGCCTGTAATCCTAGCTACTCAGGAGGCTGAGATCTGAGGATCGAGGTTCAAAGCCAGCCCGGGCAGGAGAGACCGTGAGACTCCTATCTCCAATAA